AGATCGGCGAGGCGCCGGCGTAGAGCGGGAAGAGAAAGGGGAGGGAGTTCAGCGTAAAGGGTCCATAACCTGTGATCAAGGGCGATGATGCCCACTCAGTTTACTGGAGGGGGCGACGACGGGCTTAAGTACTGTGGTGTGGTGTGGCTAAACGTGTCCAGGTGGCTATCGTACAGCACTCGGTGTAAAAAATAATGCATCTTTTCGAACGGTGGGAGTAGTGAAGAGGGGTGTAAAATATTAAAGTTGTAAAAATTCGTTTTTTACAACTTTAGCCTCACCGGTGGGGATGCTCTAAACTCTAAACTGCATAAAGAATCTGAATAAAAAGCTACACACACACACGTGCCTCGCACTCGCCAATGCACACCCCAACAACTTCATTTTTGCGAACAACTTCATCTTTGCGCTGCACCGTATTCTTCGCCCCTCACTCCTCACCTTCTTCCAACAACGCCTCTCACTTTCTTCCAACGCCTCTCACCTTCTTCCAACGCCTCTCACCTTCTTCCAACAAAGCCTCTCACCTTCTTTCGGCAAAGTCGAAGATCACGTCTCGATCAACAGTCCTCCTAAGATCGCGGCAGAAAGCCCCCGCTCTCGTCCACAAGTGGATACCGCACTAATCCTATCCTACTGACTTGCATCGTCAGAACTGATAACCGACATGATACCGACCGAGCCATCCATCATTCCGACAACTACGGTCTCACATTCCATTTTCACCACGAAGTCCATTACCGAACATTCGAGGTCGGCCAGTGTGATTTCGGAACCGTCGCCCTGTTTGTGAATTATCTTGTCCCTCACCTCACAAATGCCGCACGTGTCCAGCACCCATATACCGTCTTCGGCCATCGACATATCCAACATACTCGACCTCTGTTTCCACCCCAGCAATTGCCCATCATCCCCCCAAGACCATATCCGTTTCCCGTCCCCGCTCATCGCCACACTCGTTACTTCATCCGTGTGTCCAATCATTGTTTCCCCGACTTGACACCCCGTCTCACCGTCCCACACCCGCACCGTCTTGTCATCTGACCCCGACACAACCCGTTTCCCGTCCCCGCTCATCGCCACGCTCCTTACCCAATCCGTGTGTCCGATCATTGCTTCCCCGACTTGACACCCCGTCTCACCGTCCCAAACCCGCACCGTGTTGTCCCATGACCCCGACACAACCCGTTTCCCGTCCCCGCTCATCGCCACACTCGTTACTTCATCCGTGTGTCCAATCATTGTTTCCCCGACTTGACACCCCGTCTCACCGTCCCACACCCGCACTGTCCTGTCATCTGACCCCGACACAACCCGTTTCCCGTCCCCGCTCATCGCCACGCTCCTTACCCCATCCGTGTGTCCGGTCATTGCTTCCCCGACTTGACACCCCGTCTCACCGTCACCACACCCACACCGTGTTGTCATATGACGCCGAAACACCCCGTTTCCCGTCCC